GGAAATTAATGGGGTATATCTGCCTCTCCCAAATATGGATCCAATCAATCTTCACTTCATTACGCAAAAGTGAGTTAAAACATAGGAAGCGTTTGGCGTAAGCACAAGTTGGTTCATTCAGAACTTTCGAGAAAGGAATAGATACTTCCGCACAGGACGGAACTCCCAATGGCGCGCTGGAAGCGGCGAAACGGTAGAGAACTTTCCTCGTCTTTCCCAACACGTAAAACAAACAAAAAAGCAAGATTTCTTTTCTAAAAAAACGTTCCTCCGTAATCTCATGATGTAGAATATGCCTGTTGCACTCTGAGATCGAATGCGAAGAAGCGTTACTAAACTATCACCGCACAAAGGCCCAATCACTCCGACAACAAAGCAAGCCCCTCCATCAACAATTGCTCAATTTGGTATGTGCCATCTCAAACACTTCCCAGACAACCAAACACTTTTAGGGCGACCTCACCTCCTACTCGGCGCTACGCGATCGAGAAGGCGAAGGAATGGGTGTTGTTGTTGGGGTTCCTGGCTATGACCCCGTTTACGTAGGTGCTGCATTGAATGCTAACAAGGATACTAAACTCGGACTTCGGTTTTCACCACCCGAGTAGTGTCAGATAGGTCATTCGTTATACTTACATATCGGATGATAGATCCTTAATAAAAACTGTGCCAAAGCTAATAAAAGTAATAAATTATTTATTTTGCCTATTGTTACTGGTATAACCGAGTGTTAGACAGATTTGCATCCAACAAAAGTTCTCCAATAACATTACAATATCTAATTGTCTAGATGTGTGATTTTTTTCGATCCAATTGCGAAAGAAAACGTTCAATGACAGCACAGTACTCCTTTGGATACTTCTTATAATGCTCAACATGATCCGAGTCTTGCAGATGCAGCACGTCCACTTGCTTTCCTTGCTTAGCCACAGCCTCATGAAAAAGGGTAAGGCTCCTTAAAAGATTTTTACATCGCTGCAAGGAGTCAAGTTGCCTAAGCATAGATGCAATTTGGTTAACAGGGAAATTCTTACAACATTTTCCACTTGAAAAAAACTTTGGTAGAAGAAAGAGAATATAGCTATATGGTAAGGTCAAGTTTATCTTTTCAGCTTGTAGTTTTTAAAAAAATTGACCATGTATATTCGGCCTTAAATGCTCAGAATATAAGTGAGTAATGTAAAATTTGTGCAAAACGCATTCGAATTCCTAATTATTGATGCCTATTTCAGTTTTTCGGACAAAAATATGCTTACACGTTCGTAGCGACTCTTTGCTGAAATGTGACCTCACGGTTTATGCTTGGTCCACTACTGAAGACAATTTTTTAGAGCTTTCACCTCTGAATTGATTTCCCTGAGCTCCTGTTATGGGAAACTTAGTCAATTGAGTTCAAGCACTTGCAAAAAGATCAACGGCTAATATGATTACCTCAATTAAACGTTCCACAAAAATCAAATTTTCTTAAGCTAAGCTTAGATGATTTCTCCTGAAATTATGATTGTTTTGCAATCCTGATCATTCCCTACCGGGACCACGTACTGTCCAATCAGCAATTTGATTGATCTCTTAACCAATTATGATTTTGTTTGACCAATCGGACCTTCCACTATAGGGCGATTTTGGCAAGACTAGCCTTGTAATATCGACTTGGACAAACCTCAAGAGGCTTGTAGAAACGTAAGTTTCATCCGAGATTACATTGAGAGATGCTACATGTGCTTTTGTTTTGGAGATTTTCCAATGAAAAACGGTTGTTGCCGATGAATAACAAACTTCTTCTCATTGCGAAAATTATGTATCAAGGATTTTCGAAAAATAAAGGAGCAATGGTAGACCGTACAAAGATGTGATCAGTTGTAGAGGGACATACTTATAGCTTAAATAATCATCTCAAAAGACATTCATAGAACTTTGGCTAGGACAACTCAATATGGCAGTTGTTTCGTTGCCTCCTTTTTTTAAGGTTCGACTACAAATCCTCTAATGTGGTCTGCTAAGAGATTGAAAAAATTGGAAAATATGTAAAAGTCCTTTAAAAACTCTAGTTTATTGTTAATATTGGTGAGCTTGAATTCATGTTTGGATATCAAGTCACAACACCTCTGCATTTTTTCTACAAAACCTCGTAGTTTGGTCTAAGATTACAAATGTTACCAGGCTTAATACTTTGTCCACAACTCACATCTGTCTTCAGTCACTTTTGGTTTTTCAAAAAAAGGAACAAAACAAGAGAAAACGTCAAGTTTACGAGGTTACCGCTTACCGACGTAATCCTTCAAGGATTTAACCCAAGAACAAGAATTGAGTTGTAAAGATCTAACAAGCGCTTAGATATATAAACGCAGCTCTTTCTAGTCCCTATCTTGTCTATTTGAGCACTGAATAATGTAATGAAAAGGAGGGGCTGGATCAAGTGGTGCTCCAAAAACGTGACCAAAAGTAATTTTGGTCACGTTTTATGGTCTTCAAAAGGCGAATGTTCGATTTAAAAATTGCCTCCAGTATTTAGAATAGGATGAAGTACACATTTTGGGACACCCATACTGAGTCAATTTCATGTCTGATGACGCGATTACATGCTGTTCGTACACTGAGTACCG